CTCTCTCACACACACACACACACACACACACACACACACACACACACACACACACACACAAGCAGAACTCTCTAGCTAGCTCAAGACCGGCTGAACAACGATGCTATAATTGTCAACATTTTGGAACACAACTGCCATTTCTTGTTCAAATTTTGGAATTACGTTCCTTTGGGCGAGGTTTCTGGTGGGAGAAGACAGCTCGGCATCTGTCCGCCTGTTTCATGGGGCTAGTTTATACTTACTAGATAAGCAAAGTAACCATGCTGGACGCCTTAAAGTTTCTTCTTTTACTTTGAATCTTGTTGTTTTGAAGGAGGTAGTCCCTACCAATAGCATTTAATTTACTGTATGGCAGTGTATGCTATACTGGACGATTCGGACTCATGACCTATTTGCCAACCGTGCATGTGTGTACCGTTCAGCCACGCCCGCGACAGTGACAATGACCTGATGAGGATGGCTCCTGCGCAAGGATGACACGTGTCATCCATCCTTGCGCAGGTGCGTGGTGTTCATAGACAAAAGAAATGGAGTTCCTCCTTCCTACACTGACATTCAGTGCTTCCTTCTTCTTTTTTTTTTTTTTTTTTTTTTTTTTCCAACTTTTTTTTTTTTTTCAGTTTTGCTGCTTCCGTCTGAAGCCCCTTTTGTACGTGTTGTAAATACTCCCAGGGTACAAAGGAGAACTAACGGAAACCAACGAAACCGAGGTGTGGAAACCAACAGAAACGGTGTAAGTACTAAGTACTAGAAAAAAAAAAAAAAAAGAAACCAACGGAACCGAGATTAAATACTCATAGGTGAAACAACAGAAACGGAACCGACAAGGTGCTGTCTCTGTCACGGAGAAGTGGAAAAAGTCCTAGCTGGAATATGCCCTAACCGCAATTACGTCACTTGAATGCACCTGACGGCGATTGCGTCCACGGAGAGGTGGAAAAAGTCCTAGACAAAAAAAAGAAAAAAAAAAAGAAGGTCCTAGACTTAAGTGTGAGTACGCCCTTATTCTGGTTCTTCGTTTGTTTTAGTCGTTGTTTCGTAGTATGTCCGGGCAGGTTCTTCCAAAAAAAAAAAAAAAAAAAAAGCACAAAAAAAAAGTCGTTGTTTTATCGAGAAGGGATCAAGATGCGGTGCGTGTGCACTCGGTCGGGAGGGGGTGGCCCAAATCCACAAGCAGGCTTATATCTTGATGTCTCAATTTGTCATTCTTTGGGCGTCATAGGTGAAACAACAGAAACGGAACCGACAAGGTGCTGTCTTGGCAAGTTTTTTTTTTTTTTTTTCCTTTGGCCAAAAACGATGAACAAAAGAATCACCGAAAGGAGGATACAAAGGCGTGGGGGGAAAACAACAGCAGGAGCAACAGTTATCATCCCCCCCTCTCCCCTTCAATGCCCTTGATGAAAGATCCCCAATCATGATCCCCCCCC